AGAATCTGTCTTTAACATGCAGGTCATACAAAGTATTTTGTTTTTCCATTATTTTTTTTCCCCTTCTTGGACACTTCCAACTCAAGAAATGGCAACACGCACATGGCTTCCAGTTTTTAAAGCAAAGAACGTAGTTCCCACGGACTGCGCTGCAGAGACAAGGAGACAAGACATTTGCAAGTTCTATCTTTCAGAAAATAAAGTGTCCTTTGAACCACTGTGAACGCTAAATAACGAAACGCATTTGTCAGCCACACAAGGTGCGAGGGAAGTACTCATTCACCACTCCCCAGGGCTGAGCCTTGCATCTGAGGCACAGAACTAGCAGTACCAATGCAGAGAGCCCATTGTACAGAGGGGAGGCAACAAATTGCTAAAATTAAGGTGTAATTGCAGCCAAATACATGAATTCCCGCTCAGCTGGCCACAGCACAGCAGCACTCCCAGCTACAGCCTCACCTGGAGTGTTGCTGATCTTCGTTACTGGCACTTGGAGTTCGACTCCTGATCTGGCTTCGGAGCTGCTCTATTAATTCAGGATTCTGCTGCTGCATCTGCTGAGCAAACTGCTGGCCCCTGAAGGAGAACAAGCAGCTGTCCCTTAGCACTCTCACAAACAGCATCTGGTGCTGTACAATTCTTTGCAGCTGATTATCAAAACTTCACTCTTAACAAGTAGTTCACATCACCAAAAGATGCAGTACTTCACCCACCAGTTCAGCTTTCCTCAACTGTTAAATTAAGGATCCACTTCTGGTCAGAAAACCCCCTGATTTATTGACCAAGGCAATGGGAAACACCTGGCTCTACTCACGCTTGTATGAGGCTGGCGAGATCATTCGTGGAGGGGCTGGTGCCTGCTGCTCCCATGGTGTTGTGGCCACCAGAAATCATCCCAGACATGCTGTGGAAATAAGAGCCATTGCTCAGAGCAGGAAAAAAAACAACAAAGAAATGGTTTGGTTTACGCTAGGAAGGGAACATCGGGGTAACGGGAGCAAGGGATAAGCTCATAACCACCTCTTCTGGCCCAAACCACCCTCTGCCTCCCACCAGTTCAGACCCACTGCAAATGCCAAACACACCCAGAGCCTCAAATGAGCAACTCAAAGAGGAAACAGAAAATGGGATCAAACTTACAGCTGCTGTACTTGTGGGTTGTTCATTAGATTAGATGCCTATTTAAAGAGGGGAGAAAAAAATGACACCCTATTTAGTCAGAAATGACTGGGTAGATATGCAGATGTTGTGCCATTCATCTGCAAACAAGGCAAAGGCAGAAATACTTGGAAACGGATCAATAGTACAAAAATAGCAAAGAGAATCACAGTGCAGCACACAAGACAAGGCTGGTAATGCAGAACAGGCACCCTGACCACATGCAGCAGATCACAAGGAGAAGCCTGTGAATAAGTCACTTCACTTGACCATAATGAAATACAAGGACAGATTCCTCACAACACTGAAACCAAGTGAGATGAAAACAAATCTGCTGAAGCGACACAGGAGCTCCCCACACCATGTACCGACACATTTCATCCTGAACAGACCAGCGCACAGACTGGAGCCAGCCTGGCTGTGATCTGTGTCCAAATTTACCATGCTCATGAAGCCAGGGTTGTTCAGCAAGCCAGCCAAATCGAGTCCTCCTGGACCTCCGGTCTGTAAGAATAAAGAAACCACACACAGGCACTGACATCCTCTCACTTCCTGATGCACTTTACAACAAACATTAATACTTCAGCTCCCAGTGTTATCAGATTCTGCCCTGAAACCACAACAAAGGGAAGAGGCTCTGCCCATACTCTTTCTGTAAAGCTCTGTCACAGCCTGGGGTATCAGGGTCCCCAAGGGAGTCAGAGGGCAGATGTCTGCATTACCCAATTTACTGATCTCCCCTCTCACCAGCTGAGTCACATTAGCCATGTGCAGCTGTAACCCATCACAACTGCCAAGTTAAACACATCCACTTGGTCATCTTTGCACTGGAGAAGTCTTTAGAAAATCAAAATCCCCTTCAAAATGATAAACTAACATGTTCCTGCATGGAGCTTGTCAGCAGTGCAGTCACCAGCTTTCTCCTAAGAAACCTTCAGGTTTCTTTTCTTAAGAAAAAAAAAAACCACCTAAAGTGCCCTTTCAGTATTGCTAACAGGACACTAGGAAAAAAAAAGCTGGATTTTAGGAGTAGAGACTTTAATTTTAAAAAGTGCTTAAGGCAAAACTGCTGTTCCAAATCCTCCCTTCTCACCAGTCTAATTTTCCAGCACTTTCAAATAAGCCCAAGGTGATGGTGCTCAAGCAGTGAAGTTCCCCTCTATGGATGCAAGTGGAAATATTCACAGCAGGACTCATTAACAATCCCCCTCTACCTGCACACAGGATTTATATCCTAAAAACAATCCAAGTCACCAAGGCTCTGTCAGACAGCCCCTGTCCACACTTAGCATGAAGAAGGTTCCTTCCCACCTTACTCGCATATAACAAGCATTAGTTTCAGAACTTACTGGACTAGGAGTCTCCTTCATTTTCTGTTCAGCTATTTTAAAGTTTGATTTGTACGTCTCGTTGTCTGGATCCAGCTCCAGGGCTTTTTTGTAGTAAACGACAGCTTCTGAGTGTTTATTTAAACTGGAGAGGGCCAAGCTTTTAAAGCAGAAATAAAATAAGAAGTCAGAGTTCAATAAGCACTTGCAGTCTTCCTCCACCCCCAGCAGAGGTGAAACTCTAGGTATTTTTGCACAGCACTCTAGGGCAGAACAGCACTGGTAACATCACTGCCACCAGGTGTTTTGAGATTAAAATCCTGGCACAAGAACTCCGTTCTTACTTACCCCATTCTGCCATACGCTTTGCTATAGTGCGGATCAATGCCTATAGCTCTTTCGCAGTCTCTCACTGCTCCGGCATAGTTTCCTAGTTTACTGTACGCAGCAGCTCTGGGGAGAGATGTGCAGAAAACACTTACCAGCTTGACTGTGCTGATCAAGGTCACCCCTGTTCCCTCCTGTCCTACAAGGCAAAGTCACTGTGAACTTGACAGAAATCCAGGCACCCAGCTCCACATTCTGCTCCTACTGCAAATTCACCCAAGCTCTTCTCCTGCTCATGGACTTTCCAAGAGGAGCCTGGCTCCAGGGAAGCACACAAATATCACAAGTGTTAGCTCAGACAAACTCAGCTTCCCTTATGCCTTGATTTCTTAGTCATAATGACTATTTCATCCATTTCCCCACACTCTACATAAGAGGGAACACTGTTTTTGAAGCTCAGAACCTCACAGGCCTGACCCTCATGCAGCTGAAGCAACAAATCAACTAAAAGCACCACCTGCAGTTTCTGGGCCAAATAAACACCTCTTCATGCCTTTAGTGTGTGTGCAGACATGTTATTCACATAGCCAGTTATGCATATGTACTCATGATAAGCACATAAACAAATCCTGATTTAAAGCCTGTTTCATTCAACAACTGTCTTCCCACCAACTTTCAAACACTTTTGCTTAGAACTGAAAAAAAATGGAAGTTCGCTTGCATACCAGATTTTGCACATACATCAACTTCCATAATTCTCCATAACGAGCCTTCGGCTTGTCTCATTTCACTCCTTTGTTTTTGTTATCAACACAGCCTCTCAAACCTGGGTGCTCTATCCCACTTGGAGTTAATTGCATGAAAGCAGACAGCATTTCTTGGCATCCCTCTATCTCCTCAAATGCCTAATAGTTTGTTTCCACACCCACATCCTATCTAGAGATGCCAGGGCACAGAGCTGGCAGGAGGCACAGGAAAGCGTGTCACCAAGAGCTTAAAAAAAACCCACACAAAGAGCAAGCAACAGAACAAGCAGTCTACAGAATCACAAAAAACATAAAAAAGGGATTTTAACCATGCAGAAGTCTTAGATCTAAGTAGTAAGAACAAGAACACAGGTGTACAACAGTGAAGAGCGATAATCAGTACCTGTTGCAAAAATACACAGCATTGGATGGATTTAACTCAATTGCTTTTCCATAGAAAGACACAGCAGCTTCAAAGTTTTCTGCCTTCATCTGTTCATTTCCTAAAGAGATGGCAGAAAGGCCCATTAACAAGTGAAAAATGGAGATGAACAGAAGCAACAAGCCTGGAGCTATGCTCTACTTAAAACAGAGCAAGAGAGAAGCCAACAGCTTGCAAGCTTTGCTGGTCAATCACACTGCAAGTGTGAGGTACAGCAGCAACAAGGCAGAGGACCTGTGTCTCAGCAATTTGGGGTTGCCTGATCCTACCCCCGGCTGCCCTCTCACCTTAGGCAAACCCAAGGCCTCCCCAAAGCAGCACCGCATCCTAAGAAGCGCTGCAGTGCACAGGCTCAGAGAAAGCTCTCTGTGTGCTGCAGCACTGATGGAGCTCTCTTGCGTGGCAGAGAAAAGGCAGCACACAGAGGAGAGCTCTACAGGGAAGATGCCCTGTGCTACGCAGTGCAGACTCCTTGGGGTGCAGAAGAAAATGCTGACCCAGCCGCCTGCCTGGGCTCTGTGGCAGACAAATCATGCCGAGTCACACACGCTCCTGGAGCACAGGCAGAGAAACAAGCAGAAATGGAAGGGTTGATCCTATTTGCTTTCTCCACATTCCCTTGGTGCAGAGCGAATGAAGCCTCCCTCCCTGTGGATCCTTTAAACCTCATCACACAGCAGCTCCGGAGGAGGTTACCTTCAGTCTTGAGCCTTTCAGCTTCAGCTATGTCATCTTCAGAGGGGATGAAGGGCTCTGAATTTGTTCTGGTGTGTTCAGGCTCCTTACAAGGCAAGGAAGAAGGCTGCGATAAGGACTCCCGCTGAGACGCACCACACCTCCCCCTTCCCAAGCGCTGGCTCCTCAAACTCAAAACATTTCACTCCCACACTCCTCCGAGGGGGCAGCACCACCACAGAACTCAAGCAGAGCTCATTGCTTTGGCTGCTTAAATAGAAACTCAGCACAGATTTTTAGGGCATCTGCTCACCTTTCCTGTGGCAGCTTCAAATATTTCAGGAAGAGTCTGGGACACAGCTAGGCCTTGGTCTTCCATTGAGACCCCAAATGCTGTCTCCAGGCACTGGATGGCCACTGGATGGACAAACAGAGTCAGGTAATTAGCTGACTTTCCAGGTAGGCTTTCCCCATTCCACCTAAATACTTCACCTCCTCCCATAGCACCCTATTTTCTTGCTGTTGAACACACCAGGTTATAAAAAACCCAAAACAATACAAAACCATCCTAAACTACATAATTCCACACACCAGACTTGATATTTGCCCCATGCCCTCAAATTTTGCCAAAACCTCAGAGTTTAAGTCTGGAGATCAAGCAAGCCACAGCTCCCATCCCCTCAGGTGGCTCCAAAGCAGGTCCTGGGGGCAGAATTTAACCAAACTGGAGCTTTACCAGTATCCCCACAGCTACGGGTGACAAAGAGTGAGGAGAGGTCAGCCTGTTTCACCTCCTAAAGGGTGGCTGCTCTGTGAAGCCCTGTGGCCACACAGATGTGCACAGACACCAAACCACCACCTTCTTCCCTTCCCAGCACAAAGAAAACCCCCAGCAACACAAGACAGCTCAGTTTTACAAAGCTCAGCTTTACGTAGCCCTCAGGCCATATTGTCCAGTCCAAAAGCAGTAGGAATAAACCCTCTGTCTGGCCAACACCCTCCTCCCACTCTCTCCCTGCTCCTGCCTTGCCCAGGAGCGTATCCACCGCTCCACAGACGTGCCTGTGCTCTTTCAGTGGGACAAACGCACAGGCCAAAGACTAAAGCGTAAGCTCCTTAAGTAGATCTTTTAAGATCAGTTTGCTCTCGTTACCAGTGAAGGCCTCTGAAAAAGCCTATATAAATACTCCAGGGCACGCTGCAGGAAAGCATTTTGAGAGCAGAACGGGAAAAGCACTCTACAAGTATAAAACACTTCCATACAAAGAAAGTTTTTATATTGCACTACACTGCAACCCTGCTGACTCCACCTCATTTAAGATAAAAGTTTTAAGTCACAAACCCAGGGTCAGGGAGGCTTTTGATCCCAGGTACATCCCTTCCTCATGCTAATCTGCTTTTAAAAAAGAGGTAACAAGAAGTCAGCTAAGCAATCAGCATATCAGGCACCCTGGATACCTCCCCAAGATGACAAATTCATTTCAAATCTTGAGCAAGCTTTGATGCTAGGAACAGCCCAGCCAAGAAAGAGGTAGAGGATAGTAACCAGGTGTCCAGATCTCCCCAAGCGATGGGCTGATAGACACGGACACGTGAACAGGGAAGCGCAAACAACCACCAACCTTCTAAACTCTCCTGCGCGTCTGGAGACAGACCCCCGTTCTGTAGCTGGTCATGGAGGAACTGGATGATGGAGTAGGCAAGGCGCTTCTGGTCTGCCATTCTGGGAGGCTGTGAGCCGTTTGTTTCAACTTCTTGTAACCTTAAAAGAAAACCTGTAGAGAGAGAAGTTCTGTGAGCTGATGGACAAGAAGTCAGAGCTTTTCCGCTGCTCTCCCCGAGTGTGAAAGACACAGGAGTTGTTCAGGACCTTCATTAAATTCTCTGCTGATCACAACCCCCTTTACACAATCCCTCCAGGCCTCAATTTCTCCCCTTCAACATGAGCAGCGCAGCACAGGTATGTGCTATGAGGCTCCTGCCAAGGGAAATACATTAAAGGTGCTTCAAGCACCAAAATACCACTGACTGATCCAGAACAGACAGACTGAGCACTGAGGAGGTCGCTGCTGAGAAACCACAGCCTCCTGCTTCCAGAGCGTAATTCTCACAAAAAACAAGGGCTGAAGTGACTTGCTGCTGTTAGCAGAGCTGGAGGGGGTCAGGGCTGCCAATCCTCTGCACTGCCTGGCTGCCTACCCCACCAGGATGCCCATGGGAGGGAGTCCCCAGAGTAAAGCAACCCCTAAAGCACAGCCCAGGTACCATAACATGACAGACACAGCTCCCTGCACAGTGCTGCTGTGCTCTGCTTCCTCAGAATGCTTAACTGGGTTTGTAGCACACAAAACTGTTCAGGGCGATTTAATAGAGAAATTAAACTGTTTAAATACAAACTCTGGGAAACAGAGCCCAACAGCTGAGCTGGCCCCAACCCACTGAGAGACACTAGAAGTGGCACCAGCCCCAGCCCAGCATTGCCGTGTGTGCCTTGGGTGAAAGCCCGTGCTGGGCTTCCAGCTCCAGCAAGGGCAGAGAGCCCAAAGCCCCACCGGGCCCAGTGAGGAGGAGGGAAGCCCACCCGAGCTCCCTTGTATCCCCAGACCTCTACCCACAGTCCCCACCGTTACCCCGGGGCAGGCAAGACTTGAGGGGCGCGGCGAGACCTGGGCCACGGCACCACTCCCACACCACTGCGTGAGGCGCCTGGGACACCGGCAGGGCTCGACCCCCC